CAGCATGGACAGTTTGCATTATCTATTTTCTTTTTCCTCCCTGATTTAATATCACACCTGGTGGTATCCCTTTGTGGACTGAGGTGTCAGGTGGCTGAGTCCTCAGCAGAGTGGGTGGCAGGAAGTGCAAGTTGCAGAAAGGTAAAGTTGGAGATATGCCCTTCAGAATTGCCAAGGGATTTTATTCTTATTCATATTTGTAATTGTTTAAGTACTCTGTTTTAACCTGTGGCCTATACATATTACCAGACTGTACAAAAGTTGATACAATTCTGTTTGGTCTGTTATCGCTGCACCTGTCATGTGATCACAAAACCACAAACACTCGTTTTATAAAGGTCATCAGTTTTAATTTATATATTTTAAGAAACAACCTTAAAGTATTTTATTATTCTATTTATTTTATAATAAAAAAATGTATGTAAACTTTTCCAAATATCTGCCTGATTAATTTCATACCATTTACCTACCCACCCACCAACACCGAGCTGACTTGTTTTTTTAATGTTTTCACACTTTAGCATTTTGGGTTTGTTTTCAGTACCCATCTCTTGTCTCAAAGAACATTACGATGTGCCTGGTTTTGTATGTGGAGGATGGCGGGATATCAGAATGTGTTAAAAACCTAAGCAACAAACAAATCTGCAAGTCTAGGAAAAGAGCTTATGTGCAAATGAAAGAGCAAATGAAAGAGCTCAACAGTACCCTGTGTGGACGCCCAAAACACAGCATAGGGGTAAGCCGCTAGGATGAGATTGAGGATGCTGTGACCGAAAAGCATGCTTGTGTGAACACAAAGTTCCTGAGCTGCTGACAGTTTCATCCTCTTTCCAATCCTGGTTACTTCCATTTCCTTTCGTGTTATGGGTCTCACTAATGTAACCAGGGGCATGTTTTGGGGAAAATCCATCCCTGGTAACAGCAGGATTGTGAGCAGCGTCCTCCCAGCATCCTCAATCTCACCCCAGCGCCTTACCCCTATAAGGCGCCCCAGAAGGCTGGGATAATTTCCTCCCATCTGCTGTGTTTTGGGGTTTCACACAACCTACACATTAGTGAGTTCATTCGACTTTATTCATAAACTTTTGACACTGTTGACCACCCGCTGCTCCTCAAAAAACTCCACTCGCTTGGCCTACAAGACTCTCAAATTTATCTTTCCACTCCACAACTCACCCCCTCAGTGTCCTTGTGTGTCACTAATCTACTAACTGACATATCAGTCTGGATGTCACAACACTACTTAAAACTCAACCTTTCAAAAACTGAGCTCTTGATATTTCCTCCCACCCATGCACCTTCACCCAACATTTTGGTTAAGATTGATAACACAACTATCCAGCCCTCCCCCATGCCAAGGTCCTAGGTGTCGTCCTTGACTCGGACCTCACCTTTCTTCCCCACCTCCAATCACTATCCAAATCCTGCCGTCTTCACCGTCGTAACATCTCCAAAATACCCCACTTCCTTACCAATCAAACCGCTAAATTACTCATCCACTCCCTTGTTATATCTCGTCTTGACAACTCCCTCCTCATTGGCCTTCCACTACACAGGATATCCCCCTTCAGTCTATCATGAATGCAGCTGCTAGACTCATCCACTTGACCAACCATTCATTGTCTGCAACCCCACTCTGCCAATCCCTCCAATGGCTTCCTCTCGCCCAGAGGATAAAATTCTAAATATTAACAGTCACTTATAAAGCCATCCACAACTCAGCCCCCAGCTATATCTCAAACCTTGTCTCACAATATCACACTAACCGTCCACTTCGCTCATCCCAAGACCTCCTGCTTTCCAGCTCCCTTGTCAACTCCTCCCATACTTGCCTCCCGGACTTCTCCAGAGTCTCTCCCATCCTCTGGAGCTCTTTACCCCAACCTGTCCATCTATCTTCCACCTTGACTGCCTTTAGGCATTCCCTAAAGACTTATCTCTTCAGGGAAGCCTATCCCACCTCAGCCTAACCACTGAACTATTACATTCTCAAACAATTCATCCCCACACAGCTACCTCCTCATGTATCACTTCTCCCTCCCTTGTACATTGTAAGCCATCAGGGGCAGGGCCCTCCTTACCATCTCGTCTCGAATTGTATTGTGATTGTGATGTCTTCCTTATATTGTAAAGCGCTGTGCAAACTGTTGGCACTATATAAATCCTATGTAATAATAATAATAATAAATGTTTAAAGTCTAATTTGCCACACTATGCAGGTGTACTTCTGTATTTTTTTCTTAATTAAGGATTACATAATTTATTTAAGCCTTGCACCACTAAATGGAAAGCAAAGAAAGTGAGATTGGGATGTTTTTGCACTGTTTTGTCACAGAGATGAGCTAGTATGAACTATTTATACCATTTTCTATATCACAATGTGATATAGAGGGCTACAATGGTCTTCTTCATTGAAAACAGAGGCTGGGAAAATATGATGCAACAAATGTTTAATTTGATATGTGCGTTAGACCTTATTTTATTGAGATGAGCCTGATCTTTAATATTGTAGATGCTCTGTGCTGCCTTTCGAGATGACCTTTTGAACCTCTTCAAAAATTTAAATCTAATTTTAGGACCACCATTTTCTATACTCTATGCGTTGCTAAGGAGGAAGTCAGATATGTAAACAGTACAGAGAATTCACAGTACCAAGGACATAAATCTTCCACCAGAACCAAGATATTTTATTGAGTGGTGGATTGACTCCTTCTTAAGTAAGAGGTTGGACAAGGAAACAGTACAGAGACTTCACAGTATCAATGACAGAAAGCTTCCAACAGAGTAAAGAGTCTATGTCGTGGTTCCCGTTTATACATACAGATTGTTCTGTCAACTTTCATCATCTGTAAAGACCTCAATGTAAAGTTAAGATTAAGAATATGGTCACTAAGGATGAGATAAACCCAGGAGGTTTGGTGAACCCAGCAAAAAATTTACTAATCCTAAACATAGTGTTATAGCGTCCAACCCCATTGAAGTCTAATGGGAGCTGAATAATTTTTTTTTCTGGCCTTTTTTGAAGGCCAGGTTGCAAGCTTTACTTAAAAAAATGGACATGAGTAGCTGAATATTTTTGGTTCTGGTACCAGTACTATCTTTAAATGACAGTTCCCCAGAAATGGGAAAAGGAGCTGAATACTTACCTTACACCTGCCCAAAAGGACCGGATACTCTACTTCGCACACCACTCTTCTATCGCGTGTAGGACCCAGGAACTCAGGTACAAAATAGTATCTCGCTGGTACCGAGTCCCGACGGCCCTCCACTCTATGTTCCCTTAAGTCTCCCCCATGTGCTGGAGATGTCGTACTGCGCCTGGCACATTGCTGCACATTTTCTGGTCCTGCCCTAAGCTGCTGCCTTTCTGGAAGGGGGTGACCGGAATCCTAAAGGACCTGGTAGTGGCGGATAGGTCGGACGATCCCTTGGCATGTCAATTACACTTGAATGACATATGCATTGCGAAATACAAGAAGTCTCTGTCCAGGCACCTTCTCAATGCTGCCCGATTGTGTATCCCACTGATGTGGAAACAAGCCTGTTGCCCCAGTCTTTCCCTCTGGTTCTCCAAGATTAACGAGATTTACCTGATGGAGGACATGACTTCCATACTACAAAATACTGAGGAGCTCTTCAGGTCCACCTGGAGGCCTTGGATTGCTTATAGAGCCACAGACGCCTACCTTGAGGTGATGTCCTCCGCCACCATCTAACCAATACTCGGCAGAGACCCCCGAGGCCTCCCATGCGCGCATCGGCTCCACCACCTTTCCGTCTCTTTCTGGACTTCTCTCCCCCCTTCTATCCCGCTTGCTGCCCTGCCTTGATATATGTATACCTCCCCTCTCCTCCCCACTTAATTAGTTGCCACTCCTGCACCATTTACTCTATTGTTTCGATATCCGAAGCGAGGGGGAACACGGATCAAAACACGATTGCCTTACTTCTTTTGTTGGTTTTGATATTATATTTTGGATGCTATAAGAGAAGCGCGATGTGCTTATCTCTGAGAAATGTTGGATCGACATACGAGTACATAATGCTTATACATCGTGATATGCCAGTCAGGGCTGTTTTTAGCCCTATGACGATTGCCCTTCCACCAGGGGCACATCACTATTGCTACACTGCTTGTATTCAGGATGGTTTATACCTCTATATGTGTTCCATGTATCGTGTATTTACACAATAAAGTTGACCTTTGAATTCAAAAAGAAAATGACAGCTCGCCGCTGGCTTCTGTTTGACACCAAATCAGGGGATCTATCATTAAGCAGCAGTATCCATTCTACCTTTAAAGAAAAGATCCCCACTGACTTCTGTTTGTAAACAAACTGATGGGGATCCTGAGTAGCATCATTAAACATAATAATAGTTGGTCAGTGATGTCAGCCAGGATCCCCGCCAGCTTGTTTACATACAGACGTTGGTGGGAAACTGTAATTTTCTCTGAGAGTAGCAGCAGGTGAACATTGTCATGCAAGGTGTTTTGTAAGGGCTTTGCCACCAAGCAAACTGGTTAAAATGTACATCAAGGCAAAATGAAAAACAAATTTAGTACATCTCTGCAATACCTTTCTCCATGTTTTATGCCTTTAAGCATGCTTCAAGTGCATAAAAACAACTGTAGTTGTGCCAGTAATATAGAATGCTCCTATCTTTCTCTTTTACAAGACAACATGTCTGGGAATCTAAGAACACAATGTCAGCCTTGCCCACTTAATTTTTAAAAGATTACAAAGAAAACAGATGTCTCCTAATTTCCTCCCTCCTCCTCATTTCCATACCCCTCCTCAAGCACAGGCAGAGAGCACAGGAAGTTATAAGCTTACAAGATGTGTGTCAAAGGTATTTTTTTGCACTTATCAATCAGATGTAACAAAACACTTTAAATTATATATCCAATAAAGAAAAGTTCATTGTTAGGGTTTACATACACTTCAACAACAAATTAAATCAACTAAGATGTAAAGGTCCTTCGCTCTTTCTACTCTTACCGGAATGCCAGAATTTCCGACGTTCTATACTCAAGCTTCAGCTGACTAGCGTGAAAGATTTCATTGATCTGGTAAAAGAAAGCACTTATTATCATATCAATAATACAACCAAAATAAAAGTAATCAAGAACTAACTGAAAAAAACATGGGTGGGAGAATAGTATAAAAAAAATAAAAGTTTATTGGAATCTTACCATTTTCTGGACATCAAAAGCCAGTAATTTGAAGTCCGATGAGGCTGGATCTTGTAATCCTGATGTGTACGTTGCTCCTGAGATTATTTTGAAGGATCCTTGCACTGTATTGATTTTATCTGGAAAAAATATATAGAATTAGTACTTCTAACTTATACTATACATGGTTGTGGGGTATTTTGAGCACTAGTGAAAAATCATAGAAAAACAGAGGATAAAAGGAAAAAAAAAATAAGCCCCCCCAAACCGCCCCCCCTCCCTCTTTTTTAAATTAAGTTTTTTTTGATTTGTGTTCTTGAGCTTAACTTCTTTGAAACTACTGCCTTCCCGAGCCTTATTCACACTGTTTAGATGTATAAAGGTTTCAGTCATGTCCATCCTTTTCCTTCTTTCCCTGAGGCTGAACATATTAACTTCTGGTTTGGCTTATGTCTCAGACCTTGCACAATTGTGTTACTCATCTCTGGACATGGAGGTGAAAAGGTTGCAAATGGTGGACATCACTGAACAATTGAATCATCAGCCTTTTATCGCTTTATTGTCTATATGCCAATATGTTATGAAAAAACAGAACTCCTCATAATGTATCCTGCCTTCATTGATTCCTGCTCAAAGAAATGTGAGATGTAGCTTCAAACGGAGAATATACATTCATGTCCCAGTACCTGCTCATTGCTTTTGAATACTCTTTTCGCAAGTAAAGATAATGCTTTATGATTAACTTGCACTTTAGCAGGGAATGAAGACAATATGAAACATCCTGGGTCTGTATTTTCTAGACATTTACATTTTAACAAGTGGCTATCCCTCCCATAGTTCCTTAATTAGACTTGCTCTCATATGCAGGGAACAAACCTGTAACCTGCAGTGCAGGTATTGTAACACGCAATCCAGAAGAGCAAAGCCAATTGCTTAAAACCTAACACCATTCACTCGTAAGTTTTCTAGCAATTTTGTGATGATTTAAATGTTTCCATAAATAAACACTTTCTAAAGTGTTATTTGAAATTTGAGTTTTTTGAAGTTTTGTTTGAAAAAAGTTTTATGCATCAAGCTGTGTTTAATATCTATAGTTTCCTAAAAACGTTGCAAACACCTTAGGACATTGTATATGCACTCAAAGTGATGTGTGTTTCATACAAATCTATTTCAAGAAATGGCTTTTAGCTTATTTGCACCATAGACAGCAGTCAATCATGGTTAAGCATTTACATCCAGGGGTGCTTTGAAGAGGAGTATTTTTTTATGTTCTTTTTTTATGCTTATCCTACATTTCTCTGTGTACTGGGGATTTATGTTTACAAAATATAAAAGAGCCTGTTTTTTTTTAAGTGCTGTCGACCTAGGCCAGCTACCTTGTGCCCCTCTACCTTCCCAAACAGAACCTGCACAGAACAGGTTACTAGGCTTGGACCAGGCACATTCCTAGGGCATCAGAAAGACCAAAGGCATTCTGGGACATTGCTGTGAGGTGAAATAGCAAGACACAAAGTACACTGTGGTGAATTTTTAAGGGTGACTATAATGTTGTGACTTTAAAAGGGTCATAGTCAAATCTTTTACCCTCTAAGTCAACCCAAATATAACTATATTCCAGCCCACTCAGATGATATCTTTGTAGCAGCACTACAGCAACAGTAAAATACCCTGATCACATGGGCTGACTGCACATTAGTAGGACCAACATATCTAACATTGCAATGTGTTGGAAACCAAAACAATGACCAAAAAGACAAACAGAAGCTTATAAATATTTTTTTAGTTACAGTGAAATACCTCAGGGAGGGCACAGTTAGCACACTATTAAGTATGTACTTTTTTTTGAGGGGGGACCTGGTTAAAAATGCAAAACTATAAAAGAATAAAGAAAGATAAAGAATGCCTTGTAGTTTAAATTGTTTTACTTTGGTAAGGGTTTCTAGGCTTCTTGAAGAATTACAAATTCTACTTGTTTCTCCTTCGTGTGTACTGTTGGGGGGGCTGTTAGGGGTTAAAGGATTACAATACTGGCTTCTCCATTACATGCTAATGAAGTTAATGGAAGAAACACAACCCTCAAACTTTAGTCCTAAGTCTTTCTTTAAGGACAGATCACTGTGAAGATGCTCAGAAAAGCCTAGAATCAGCCATGTTGCCTGCTGCAACAAAAAAAAATCTAAAAGGCAAGAAATATAATTTTTTTTATATTTTTCAGTATGGTGTGTGACTAGGAACACATGACAAACAGATAGAAGGTTTTTTTTTCAAATTTGGCTGCAAAAGTAGAAATACACCTAAAATATAAAAAGCTACTATCAAGATATAGAAGCATACACCAAAAGGTGCATGAGCATAAGTCCTATTTGTTGCAGGTATCAAATGATGTCACTTCTACAATTTGATAGGAGGTGGAACTTCACTTTCAGCAGGAATGGCCAGCAGTTGACATCTGATGTGGGACATCTTTCTCCCATGTTTCCTTTTAGCTCTAGGTAACGTAATATATTATCTTACACTAGACACCAGAAAGCATGTACTACGGATTTCATTCAAGCCGTATGATTGTTTTTCCTAATAATAATTTTGACAACAATTCCCATTTTTACTAAACAGACCAGTATTTTATTGACCATGTTGCAGCCCCACTGGCAGTTGTGGGTGCATAACAAGAAACATTAGGAACGTCAGAATGGCGGAAAATTCACATTTGTGGCCATTCTTACCTATGCACATCACATTTAAAAAAAAATTTAAAAATAAAAACAAGAGAAGCGCTTTAGTCATTTGAGTTGGGTGCCAGCACTCTGTCCTCTTCTCTTTAATGGTTAGAAGGCTGGAAAGATGCAAAGGGTGCTATGTTATAGTTTGGGGAGTGAGCAGAACTAGCCACTGAGAGAAAATGAAAGTTTGCTATGAATTTTGAGGATGAATTGCTCCATAGTGCCTGCAGTGATGGATTGTTTTCATAACAAGCTCATTTGATCTTTTGTTAAGAATATGTAAATATTTATTTAATAGCCAGCCCACAGTACTACTTTAACCCTTTTGCTGCCACCGACGTATGGCCTTAAAGCCGCTGGGACTCTGTTTACATTTGTAAAGCCGACTGTTGGCTTTACAATGGAATTGATTTTGACGGCTCAGTTGCAGCCAAATGGCTTTCAGGGGCCAGTACAGCGCCCACCCCCCTGTTTGACACCCCCGCCCAACACACCAGCATCCCATGTGTTGACGGGAAGCTGGGGAGGAGACCAGCGAACATCCATTTGCTGATCTCCTCCCTGCTGAATATGTCAGAGAGCGATGCTGATTGCTACAGAAGCCAAGTAATAGGAGTGGAAAGGTGACACTAGGGGTCTTTTGGACCCTTAATGTCACCTTAAAGAGTAACTGTCACTACTAATATGCTATCACATAGGGGGCTTGTAAGCCCCCCTGTGTATTAGCAATTTAAATAAAGTTAAAAAAATAGAAAAACGTTTTTTAAAAATCGTATTAAAAATAAAATGAATGTAAAAATAATAAAAAAAGTTTATAGTCCCCATTGTCCCTGTGAGCATGCGCTCATTAATGCAAACATCCGTTGTGTGTGCCTACGTACAAAAACTACAATCGTTCTACATATGTTGGGTATCAGCACACTTGCCAGAGTGAGACCAATAATTATAGGTCCAATATTTATTTTTGATTTAGATATACTTTAAATCAAATTTGAAATCTTTATGCTGTGATGGTAATGCTCATTTCCAACCATTTAACAGAGTTTAAATTGTTCTATAACTTTTGGGTTTCTTCCAAATGTAATTATATAAAAATGCACAAGTTACCAAAAACAAGACAATAATTTGTTAAAGGTATATTGACTTCAAATTTTCTACATAGAGGAAAAAAGCCCCAAAATATATACTCTTCTTCACTGTGACACCTGACAACATGACACTTCCATACATAACAGAAAAGCTTTTTTCATGATGGTTTGCCATGGCATTTATTAGCGGTCAGAACATAGGTAATAGATAAATTGTGTCATTGAATCCTTGAACTGGCGCCTTGATTTCAAGAGAGAAAATGAGGAGTGATCTGTTACAACACCAAGAATTCCTCTCACAACAACTACAACTAAAGGATATTGGATTCTGGACAAGGAAACCAACCATTAGATCTTCAAGAAAAATTGAACTCCTTCTTTGTGCTTTGTGATATTTTAGAAAATATTAGTTTAAAAAGATCTCCATGAAACATTTATATTTAGCTAAAATGGCAATGTAGCATATCACAATTATTTTAGAAGCTTTTATAACCCTTTTTTATTAAAAGAAAAGAAAATGTCAAAATACCCAACACATTATCTTTTGCTTCAAACAATCAGGAGAAAATGGACAGCTTTACTTTTATTCATTTTTTAATGTGACCACCCCCCCCCCCCCCAAGACCTGTACATTTTTCAGGTAGCATATGCCTCTTAAACTTAAAGCATAACTCTAGGCAAACTCCTAAATGTGGAGACAACCTGTCACAATCCAACCTAAGCACCCTTTCACACATTCCTATCAGCATGCATGGATCCCCTGCTGACTGGAACACATGTCACCATTGTGACATACTTGTCCGTCCAGTTTTTTCCTCCATCTTGCAATGAGCAAAATACTGAAATTTCCAGACCCATGTTGGTCTATGGGGAGTCAGATGTAAATGGACATGTGTGCATTAGGGGGCGCGCACAACCAGCAAGTAAATCACGCACATGTACATCCACCCGCCGGGAAGCATTCGCCGCCTGCCCGTAATTTTACAATGGGCGGACGGCAAGGGGTTAAGTGGACCTTTCAGCAAGTTTAGAAGTCTGAATCAACACATTCTTGTTCTGTCTCAATATACTGTACAGTATAATTTTTCCAAAAAAGCTTGATTCATTAAAAAGGAGTCTTTAATCTCATGTCAAGTAAGTTTGCCTACTCTAAATGGATGTCATCAGTCTGCGGCATGCAGCTTCTCTCAGCTAGAGATCAGAATGCAGCATTGTAACTTTCTGGTATGTCACAAGTTGAATGGGTTGCAGTAAGGGGTCTGTTATTTGTCAGACATTTGTTAACATAGCCAAGAACTACACAGGCACCAGGATTTACATGATTGTGTCAATTCTGAGCTATGCTGTGCACCAAAACACAGCAAAAAAAAGAGGTATGCACTTTTGCACGACCCCAGCATTGTGACGGTGCTCTCGTGGTCACACAGCAGCGATTGGGAGCTGGTATGATGGACTCCTCATCACGTAGATCACGGTAACAGCCAATCACAGTGATTACATGATCAGGAGGCCCAGTAAATGTCTCATGCTCACATAGCAATGATTGGGAGCAGGTACAATTAACTCCTGATTATGTGATCATTGTAACAGCCAATAACAGTGATCACATGATCAGGAAGCCCAGGAAATGGCTCATGGTCACATAGCAATGACTGGGAGCCCATACATTGGACT